CTTGCTAAGATGCTGAGGCTGGCTTCGCACTTGTGATCCTCCCGCCTCAGGCTCCCAAATTCCTGGGATTATAGGCATGCACCACCATGCCTGGCTTAAATCCTTCAACTTTTCTATAATAAGAGACTTTAAAGCCTTAAAGGGGCTGGGAGCATAGCTCAGTGATAGTGTGCTTGCTGAGCATGGGCCGGGCCCTGGGTTCAATCCTCAGCGCCCCAAAAAGCAAAACAACAATAACAACAAAAACTTCTATGGATAGCAAACTTAATATTTAATATTTCTTAATGTCATGTACACCTTTGTATGTATTTATGTCCATAATATCTTACATATTTATGTAAATATGTGTGTTGATATTTACATTAATCCATACATACTCTCACACACACATCTTCCAGAATGTTCCTACCTCTCACTCCCCCACCGCCATGTCTCCTCTCATTTCCTGCCTGGATTTCTTTGGGAGCCTCATGGCCCACCTTCCTTACTTCTCACAGCAGCCAGAATGGTTCTGTCAAAACCTGAGTCAGAGGGATTCCTAACGGGGGGGGGGGGGGGGGGCCTGGCGGGTCTCCTGGCCCTTGCCGGCCACCTTCCTGGGCTGCAGCCACGTGGAAGAAACGGGTGCCATTTGCAGTGCCCTCTCGCTGGATGCTTTTCCTCCCATATGCAAATGGATCTCTCCCAGCCTCCCTCCCTCTCCCTGGGCCTCTGTTCTCATCCTTCTCATGGGGGAGGATCTCCCAGACCGTCCTGGCCGCCTCTGGAGCACACTTGGGCCACCTGACACGCCCTGTGCTGCTGCTTCATGTATTCTGTCCCCCACTAGAAGTAACCTTGCTTTGTTCATCGTGGATCCCAGCACCTAGAACAGTGTCTTCCATCTAGCAAGGTCTCAGTCAGTTCTTGTTGAATGAGTGAGTGGATGGAGCTCCGATTCACAGAGGGGCAACTGAGATGTGGCCCAAGAGACAACAGCAGAAGTCAGGGTCACAGTGGGACTCCAAGACAGGGCTGGTTTTACTGGGGAGTCCCTGCTGCAAGCCCTGGGCTGCATGTTCTGCCCACATCCCTAAGAATGCAGGGGAAGGAACCCTGAGCACAGATGCAGGGAGGACCCTGCTCGAGGGCACAGGAGCTAAGGTGGATACAGTTGGCCTCTGGCTTCGGTGAGCAGGTGGACACATAACTGCGCAGGCTGCCGTCCTCTGTTCTTTGAGAAGCAGGTGGAAGTCTTTCTCCTGAGAGGGGAGTCTGCTGAAGAGTCAGCAGAAATCTTCTGTCTGTCCCAGGATCACTCTCAGAGCTGGACTGGCCACCGACCCTTTCCCATCTCCCTCCCATTGGCTCCTCTGACCCAGCCTGGCAGGCCAGGGCCAGGAGAAGATCCCCAGGAATAGAGTACCCTCCTCTCTCTCTAGGTCAATGAAGGGTTATGACTGGCCCAAGAGGCCCAGCCCAGGTAGAAGCGGTGGGCCCCTTGCCAGGCTGTAGGTGCTGCCTCTCAGGCCCCTGCAGGTCCCCAGCCCCTCTCTTGGGAGAGCCAAGGGTCAGGAGAATCCTGCTGGGCCCTTCACCTGCCCCAGTCCTAATCAGCTTCTCCAGGGATCAGATACCAATCTCAGGTTCTTGTCACTTTTTTAAATTTAAATTTCTTTGTTCCCCATTGGGAAATAAACGTATGCTTATTATAGAACTTGTGGGAAACAAAGAGTAGAAGAAAGAAGAGTAAATCAATGAGAAATTGCTTTTCCTGGTGTGATGTTCACTTTGGGTCCTCTGGTGTAGGCCTGGGGCTGGGCAAGGGTTCATAGATCTTCTGGTCTGGGCAGCCAATGGGTCATAGGGGCCACCATGGCTGACTTGGGCCTTCCTCCCCACGTGGGTTTCAGGAAAAGCCGTGTGGCCCCCGCAGTCTTGTCCATAGTGATGTAGAGGACGAGCTGACGAGAGTTGCTATATTTAATTTGGGTGTCTGCGTCACCTCTGACCACACAGCAGCCGAGGCAGTGCACTGGGCTGGAGGCGTTTCTGAGCTGAGCGACACTGAGAGAGAACCACTTTCCACAAGAAAAGGCCCCGGGGAAGGGAAGGGAGAGAGCGCAACAGAAAGTGAGGTCGTAAGTAGAAAATTGCTTCTGGGATTTCAAATGGCTTCGTCATGGGGCCCTCCCTGGCTGCTGAGAAATCAGTTGATCTGGGAAAGTTCGTTGGAAACCATGTACCCTGTCGCTTTTGGGTGGAGCTGAGAAATGAATGAAGATAATGATGCCTCATGACTTTTATTTTTCAGGGTAGAGAGGGCATTGTGTGGGAGGCCAACTGTGGACATACGCCTTGTCCTGGCCAGCCTGGATCTCCGGGAGCTTGACATGGCCCTAGTGTCCAGGCTGGGCATACCTCCTGGAGCACCGTCAGCCTCCACCGATGGCCATCCCAGAAGGGGGCCAGGCTGAGGGAGGAGCAGGGTTTGGGTTTGTTACAACTGACCAGCTCACTGACTGGAGAGACTGAGCCGAAGACACCTCCCCATTGACCATAATGAAAACGTGATAAGCTGATAGACTGATAACCCCAGCCTTCAGGCTGATCCTCTGCCACAGGACACAGAGGCTGGTCTAGTCCCCTGGTCCTGCTCCTCCTCATCCTGAGCCTGCAGGGGCCAGCCTCAGAGAAACCCCTGAGGTGACTTGCAGTGTTTTCTGACACCTCATCTGAGCAGCAAACAGAGGTGTGTTTCACAGGAAACTCACGCTCGTGTCTCGCTTCTCACTTGAGCCCTGGCCCCTCTTCCAGTGAAACCTCCCCGACCTAGGGTTCCAGGTGGCACCAAGGGGCTCCCCACCCTGGGCCCCCGGCTGCCATTTGCCTCCCACTCATAACTACCCTTATCTCTTCTCAACCCTTCTCTCCTGGTCCTGTTAAGGATTTGCCGTGTCTATGGAAGAGGCCAGGCCCTATCCTGAAAACTCAGCAAATACCCAGGGGTCGGTCCCCAGGCCACGATGCTCCCAGCCACTGTGGCTGACACCTACCTTTTTTTTCTATTTCTTTTCTTTCTCATTCCTGACCGGGCCACCCCACTATTGTCACCAGCAGCAGCTTGGTTCTGTGCCTCTGAAAGGCATCCCTCTTCCCTGGAAGGCCCTGTACCTACTCCGGCCCACTGCACACCACTGGGAACCCACAGGTTCCCCTGTTTGGGGGACAAGTCTCCTGAGACTGGCAGGAGCTTTGGCAGGGCTGAGGATGTGGCAAGCTGTGGACCCCTAGTGGCAGGGCCTGGCACAGCCCATCTGCTCTGTGCACCAGCCCCCAATACCGCCTGAAAGAGTGGGTGGCTTGGAATGCATCCTGGGAAAAAAATCCTCAGGGACCCAAATGCCAGTCTTCGTTCTTGAGGGATTCCCATGAATTTCATTGGATGAGTCTCCATCTTTTTGAACAGACAGGCCAAATAATTGGTCATGGAGAGGGGCGGAAAAGATAAGTTTGAAATTCATGCTACTGGAGAATGGATCACTAAATTCAGTTTAAGAGAGAAAAAACATTACTTTTTCATAAATATTCTTGGTCTGAAAGTCCCAGACTGGATGGAGAGGGACGCTAAGAGCCTGGCTTACCCACTCCACTGTGTGGTGCTTTCCAGCCTCCTCTACCTCCCAGGAAGCAGTGAAGCCTCACGTCCAGAGGGCAGGGGGCCTCCCAAGGGAGAGCAGCCTCCCCGTTTTTAAGTTCTCTGTGGTGCCAAGCCTCAGGCCATGTGATGCCTTGTCCTCAGCAGCCCAGGTGGCTTATACCCGTGGGGTCACAGGTGGTCCTCAGCCAATGTAATGGGACTTAGGTCCTGTGACCTCCTTGGCACTCCAGAGAGCCAGTCCCAGCCCTGTCCACACAGTCCTGTGTCCCCTCCCCAGGCCTTCTCCCCCTGGCTGAGCATCCCCAGCTCCCAGCCCAGTTCCACTCCTTCTTCCCTCTCCTTTCCCCGCAGCAGTGAGGTAAGGAATGGAAGGGCTGGTTCCTGAGTACTCAGCTGCAGCCATCCTTTTGCTGGGAGACACACCACCCTAGGGTGCCTGCCTGCCAGTGTGAGACTGCCCTGGTAACCCTCCACCCATGCTGCAAAGCATCTCGTCCTCTGGAGCCACCCTCTGCTCTGGGCACCTCCCAGAGGGGCTGAGAGGCAAGGCTTCAGCTGAGGGCTGTTGCTTCCAGACTCCAGGGACGCTGGGCCCACAGGAGAGTAAAAGAGACCTGCTCTGCGGAGTGGGGCAGCTGGGGCCCTTGCACCCATTCTGGTCCATCCTGGTCCAGAGGCTGCGAGCGGATGCCTCTGTTCACAGAGGGGGTGGAGAGCACTTCCTCCTGAGTGGTGTCCAGACATGGAAGGGGCTGTCTCAGGAAGCAGACAGTGTACTCCCTGTCAATGGGGGTGCCCAGCAGGCTGATGACAGGGAAATAGTGCCCTCAGACTGATGGCACTCAGGCAGGCGGAGCCATTGAGAACATGGGCTTTGGACTTGGAGTGAACTTGGGTTCAAACTCTGGCTTTGATCCCTAGTGACCTTGGGTGAGCCACCTAGTCTCCTGAGCTTCAGAGTCCTCCTCTGCCCTTTAGGGTGATATGAGAGTGTGTGGGCCGTGCCAACACAGCTGGACACAGCTGGAGTCGTGGTAGTGATTCATCTTGGAGGTCTTCCACCCATTCCACACCCTCCTTGAACCTTGACATGCCAGCTCCAGCTTCCTCTCTGCACTGTGGGTAGCCCCCAACCCCAAGGCCATGTGCCTCCAATCCCAAGGGTTTGCTTACTCTTTCCAGCTCAGGTCTCGCACCTCACTCCCCTTCCTCCCACCAGCCTGCCTCTCACAGAGCTCCTCGAAGTTCTGTAACCAGACAGGTGTCCCCAGAGGCCAAAAAAGGGCAAACATCATCAGGCTTATCTGTCACCATCTTTATTTCTGGCTTCCAGTTTGGCACAATGAAAGAGCTTGTTCAGTGACCCCCCTCCCCCAGTCCACACACATGCGGCCTTCATTGTTGTAGGCCTCCTTTCCATATATTATTAACTCTTTGCTAACATATTTAATACTTAACTTTAAATATGAGGACAAAATAATAAATTACTCCTTGGCCCCAGAGCCCCAGTGAGGTAGCAGGATTGTGTGCACAGTACTTGTTACTAGGGACCCCACCAATGCCCACTGCTTTCCGCTAGAGCCCCAAGTCATAGGCACTCAGGCAGCGAAAGCCTCCCCCACCCCAACACTAACAGACACTCACTTAAATAACACACAATAATAAATAAGACTAAGAAGAAATGGGCCTGAGCTGTCTCTGCTTCAGTCAGTCACCCTGTGTGAAGCAGGTCCCTGTCTGGCAAGAACAGCACCCACTGGAATGCTACCCCTAGGGAGGGGTCCAGGTGCAGGGAAGTGTCTTCACTCCGGGTCCCTTGAGCTCGGAGCCCTGGACAAAGGAGGCCACTAGGCTGAGCCCCAGGCACCCAGGCAAGGGTTGGTACAGCTGAAGGCAGGTGGCACAGGCTGAGGTCTAAGCTAAGGCAATCTTTCCCTTCCCCCCTCCTCCCCATGTCCCCCACAGTTTCTGACATTGGTAAGAAAATGAATCTGCAACTTCAATAATCAGGGCCCATTTCTGCATATCTCATGCTTCAGGGGAGCTTTCCATGGCGAAGAAGACACCGTAAATGACTGAGCAGTTTCTTCACAAACTGGCCCACTTCAATTTTGGTGTCCGGGATGGGCATGGTGGAAGCCTGCTGCAGGACAGAGAAGCCAGCGCATTAGTGGATGTCATGGGCAAGGACAACCAGGGGCTTTCCAGGGATTGTCTTGTTTAATCCTCACAAAAGTCCCCCGAGGTAGTACTGCCATTATCTGTACTTTACAGAAGTGGAAACTGAGGCTCAAGCAGGAGACCTTGAGCCCAAGGCCTGTCAATCCCAAAGGCCATGTTCCTATTGCCATCGTGGACCCACTCCTGGGTGGACACACACTTCAGGTACTCAGCCTTGTTCCCTGGGAGCTCCCTGGGACCCAGGAGTGGGTGTGGGAGGGGCCTGGGGTGTGGGGGGAGCCTTACCCCAGCAGTGTTCTTGTGTGTGCAGAGGCCACTCAGCATTCTCTGGGTCTTCTGGATGGCACTGCAGTTGGAGACCTTGATCAGGGAGTCCAGGGCTGCACAGTACTGTGGGAGAAGACCACAGGTGTCAGGCCTTGTGGGGGGAGGCTATGTGTTTATAGGAAGAGGGCCTGAGAGCCTGGCAGAGGTGGGTCTGGGTTGGGGGGAAGAGCCCCAGTGGTAAGGAAGAGAGGATAGCTCTTGAAGCTCATTGGGAAAGCCCCAGAGTATGAGTGAGGCTCAGAGAACACAATCCCAAGGCCTATAGCTGCTGCCACTTCCCCACCAGTAGCCAAAGGACCTTACCTCGCCAGCTGTCAGGTTGACGCTCCACACCATGCTGCCATTGCAGAGGGGAGCCTGAGGGAGCAAAGTGACAGTGAGCAGATGGCTGGTAGGGCCCCAGCCAGCCTGGGGCCAGGTCCCCACCAGGATAGTCCCCACTAGTACCCCTGGTATGGCACCATCAGGCCTGGCAACCCCTCAGCACTCCTGAGCTTCATTTTCTGCTCTGCATAAGGGGCTGGGGACTCATTATAGAGGGTCCTGGAGCTGAGGGAGAAAAACTGATAAGTGATAAGCTTTATTTAAAGCTCGCCACACCTAGGGTAGAGGACCTGCAGAGAAGGGCCCTGAGCCGGGTTGGGTGAGGGAGGTGGTGGCTCAGTCTGCGGTTGATCAGGACAATTCAGATGGGGGGCAGTGGGGTCTGGGGAATTAGGTACCTGTGCTCTGCAGTAGGGGTACTACAGTTAGGAACCCTCTGGTGTCCACCAGGCCTGGTTTGAACCTAGCCTCCGTCAATTAACCTCACTGAATTTTAGCAAAATGGGGTCATGGCGCCTGCCTCTGGAGGTGTGGCCAGCAATACAGTGACATGTTAAACTGCCAGCAGCAGGCCTGGTGTGAGCCAACGCCAGTGAGGAGAGGGGCCAACTCTGTGAGGACTCCTCCCACAGAGCGGGCTTCACCAACCGCTAACAATGATGGCTGGCTTACTGTGTTCAAAACCCAGCTGGCAAATTCCAAATGGTTCTAGGAGGACCTTGACCCTTCTCTGCTAACAACTGGCTGAAAAGGAGCTGTCAGTGGTAAGGCCAGACCAGGGGGCAGCTGGTCCCTAGAAGCTCTGCTGGACTCCTTCAGAGGTCATATTGCTACACCCCCCCACACACACCCCTTATGGCCTGGCCTGGCCCTTCGTCTGCGGGGCTTTTCTTCACCCACAGGTATACAGGTCCAGGCCCAATCTGCTCATGACCTCTTCCTAATAGCGCCCACCTTGCCCCTCAGAGCCTTGCCTGGCCAGTCCATACTCACCTTCTGGTCCTGCGTGATGTTGACCAGCTCCTCAATGAGCTCCCTGAAGGCTGGGGATGGAGGAGGCACTGGGCCTGGGGCAGCAAGGCCACCGAGGCAGGCAAGGGTGAGGACCACAGTCAACCAGAGCGCCATGAGACCCAAAGCCAGCACAGAACAGAGGAACAGACGTGTCATGTGCTGGTCAAAGCTGAGTGGCTTGTGGCCTTTGCTTCTTGTGGCAGCTTTTTATAGGCCCAAATGGTGACGCCTCATACCCTGGCCTCCGCTTTGTCGGGCACTATCTAGAAACCACATCTTTACTCATCTTGATTTTACTTTGTGGAAAATCCAGCATCGTATAAAGGAAAGAGCTTGATTTCTAGTGGATTTATCAAGAAGGATCTAGTACAGAGTTTCCAAGGTTGGAATGGCTGAATCCCAGGTGTTGGTGAGAGGGCCCTGAGGGTGGCCTGGTGGCAGCAGTTCCTCCTGGTGACCATCCTGAGCTCCTGGACAGCCAACCCAATTCTGAACTCCTGTCCTCAGACCCCTCTGGCTCACCAGAAGCGTAGGGCAGTCCAAGTGGCACTGGGTCTGTGACAGGTCTATGAGCTATGGGAATTTGGGACTTGTTTTTCTTAAATTACCAAAGTAATGCTTGATTTTCAATACAAAATTCAACAAGGACAAAAGAAGAGACTGAAGTTGGGTTTTTGAGTCCCACATGATTCCTCCTTGGCCCCACCACAGGAAGGATTCAAAAAGATCAGACTCCCAGGTCTTCACTGAAAGAGCCAACCAGGGTTAAGTTCCTCTTGGGACTTTTAATTTTTTAAAGATGCTTTGGTGGTAACTCTGGGTATGAGCAGCCTGAACTCTGGGCCTCACCATGGCCTTCAGTCCCTTAGTGCCCTAGCCCCAGCCCAGGTCCCGGTGTGTAACTGTTCCCAGAGCCAAATGAGACTGGGTGGGGGTACCACCTCTGCCCACCAGTCTCTGTAGGAGCAGCCCCTGCCGTGGAGGGCCTCCCGTTTCCCTTTTGCAGAATAAGTGCTGTGGAGGGAGCTCCTGGGCCTGTCCTCTGTAAGCAGCACCCTTGCAGGGACGCTGGCCTGTAGCCTTTTTCCTGCTCTTCCCTCATGTCCCTAGAATTCCTCCAGAAACCCCCACAGCACAGGCTACAGTATCTGCTTATTGAATGCTAATGTGAAGAGCACTCACTCCCTTACCCACTTCCTCTCCTAGGCCAGCACCTGCCACTCCAGGTCCCCTCTTGGTCTGCTCAGGCTCCCTTTGTCCCCTCCTCTGTGGGGTTCAACTTTACAAATGTCTTCCCGGGAATGCCAGACCCTTCACTCTTTTAGATGCCTCCCAGCCTTGCTTTGCTCCTCTTCCCGCTGGGAACACAATTCCCAGTCTTTGGCCTACACTCAAAGCTTTGCAGCCCAACTACAGGCCCTGACCTGGGAGCCCGCCCCTGCCCAGAGAGGCCTTGCAGAGCCTGGCGTCATTTTCCGCATCTGTAGCAAAGGGCCAGTGTCATCTCCTTTGGGGTCTCCGTGGTGGGGGAATGATCGGGAAAACACCTTGGGCTGTGCAAGTCCCCAGATCACCGCGCATGCATGAGTCAACGTGCCCCTACCCCTCCTGGCCAGCAGAAGGCATGCGGACAGCGGTGGGCAGGCGCCCCGGCGCGTGGGAGAAGGCGCGCTGGCGCGGCGATGGCCCGCGGAGATAGGGGAACGGCCTTATGTAACGCGAGATGGGGCAGATAAGCGGGATCCGAGTGGCACGGCCCTCCCCCGCGGCCTCCGGAGGTGGCCGGTGCGGGAAGGAGGGCTGAGGGCGCAGAGCGGCCGGGAAGCGAGGGGGAGGCAAAGGTGGAAGTGAGCGGTGCAGCGCCTGCCCTGCGCGCCCTCGGACGCCCAGAGCGCGGTGCGCACAAGCCAGGGAGCTCTCCGGCTGCAGCTCTCTCTCTCTTCTTTTTGCGGTCCTGAGTACTGGGAATTGAATCCCGGGCCTCCATGCTAGGCAAGTGCTTTCCCACTGAGCTACATCCCCAGTCCTTTTGCTTCCTCCAGAGCAAATGGCAGGCACACCTTCTGCTCATTATAGAAAGTTTAGGTTTCCTAAGCTAGGACTTCCTCTCCTGCCATGCAACCCACTGGGTGCACAGGTGCCCTCTGGTCCTCTCTGCACCACCCTGTGAGCATTGGGGTTCTGGGAACAAAAATGTTGATATTCTACTGCTTCTGTGCATAATAAATGTCTTTGTCTCTGAGCCAAGAACCCTGTGTCTACTGCCAGCATCTATGAAACTGTGACATGTTGACTTGAAAGCTTGTAAATAGGGAAAAATCTGAAATCCTTCCGTTTTTGACAAGTTGTTTTGGTTTTAACATCCCTCCTGTTTCTAAGTTAAACATGCTGCTATTTCTTGATGTTCAGGTGTAGGCATTGTTGTCTAGGATAGATGTTTCTTCTTCCCTCCTTCCATGATTTCTTTTCCTCTTGCTACCAATGTAGGATCATAATTTGGGTCAGTCAAAAACCTTGTTTCTGTTTAAACAATTATTCTAATATATTCACAGCACACAGGTGGGTAAGGGAGTGAGTGCTCTCCTGAAACCATTTCCCCACTGGAGTTGTCTTGTTTTCCCATTTGTTTAGTTTTCTATGTTCTCAGTGACTTAACCCTAAATTCTTGGTCACTTATATAAATTTCCTCTCAAGAGATTTGATAAAATCCGTTGTTCTTAAGAGTTTTATCTTCCAGAGACAATTTTGTTTCAACCCTCTTCTATACTAGGGATTGAACCCAGAGTTTCCCACATGTTAGGCAAGCAATATGAGCTATACACCCCCCTAGTATCTTTTTTTTTTTTCATTTTTAGTGAGACCCTGTCCTATTAAGTTGCCCCTTGTCATTTGATCCTCCTGCTTTAGCCCTGGTAGAAGCTGGAATTACAGATGTGCACCACAGCACCCAACTCATTCTGAATCTAAATCTTTTCTCACCCTTTCTCTGGAAATGTGTAGGAATATTCTTGGTCCTTGTGCTCCAAATGTCACAGTGATGTACTTTGGAATGGTTCTGTCTTCATCTTGTGTGCCAGACACATGGAGGGCCTTTTCAAACAGAAAGCATGTCATTAAGTTTAGGGAACTTTTCTTTCTTACAAAACAAAACAAAAGCTTGGCTATTTTATGTTAGTTCTTATTTGTGGTATTCCATTCACATGATACAAAAATCAAAACTATGTATATTTGAATGGAGCATCTCTACTCCCCCCCTGCAAATGACTAATTTTACTGTGTTTTTGTGTAACTTATTGGGGCTTCTGGAAATATAAGCAACTTATTTTGTCTGCATATGTGAGATGACATTTTGCACCTTGCTTTTTCTTATTTTGTAAGAAATTATTTTTGTATCCATAGTGATAGAACTTGGGTCAGTTTTTGACTTTTTCCTCTCTCTTATTAGAACCACCAGTTAAAATATTGTTATTATAATTCTAGTTTACATATTTCCTAGTTTTTATATTTTATAGTCTAGTTTTTTTTTTCTTTTCTCTACTTTCCATTTAAAATTTCCTCTCCTCTTCTATATTTTCATAGCTTTATCTTTCATCCCAGGGGTATTTTATTCTTATCGGAACATGTGTATGTCCTCATAGCACCACATTCTTGTTTAACGGGGTATCTTCTCATAGCAATATAAGAATTTTACTGGTAGTGGTTTTTATTTAGTCTTTATTTTCTCCAAATTCTCCCTCCTGCCCCATGCTAGGCAAGCAAGTGCTCTGCCACGGAGCCAAGTCACTAGCCCTTTTCTGCCTGTTTTTTTTCTCTTTCATGTATGGACTTTCCTTGGGTGTCAGGTGACCCTGCATTGTCTGTCCACATGAGGGTGTGGATGTGGTTGGGTGTTCACTCTAGGGCCACAGGGGACCTGCCCTACCAGTATATTAAGTCCTTTTTTCCTGCAGAGAAAGTAGCTTCCTCAGCAAAGATTCTCCCTGACTCTGCCTGCTGCCAGCACTCTGGAAGCCACAGGTGGGCAGAGGGCACGGCTGGGCTGAGGGTCTCCATGTATGTTAACTGTTGACTTGGTGCCCCAGTCTGAGCAGAGTCAGGCTGCCTGCAGGTGTGCATCGTGTTTCTTGGTCCAGGTACCAGGAAGGGCTTCTGTATGCTGGAGGGGGCTCAGCTGACTTTGAGGAGTAGGAATGATCTGACTGCTGCTTAGAGTTTCAACTCCCTCTCCATAGTCGCAGCCCTCCCCTTTCAGAGGTACTTGGTCTTCTGCCCATTCCTGAGCACTGGGGATTTTGCACAGCAGAGTAGGTCTCAGGTTCCCTGTGACGGCACAGTTCTGTTGTCCTGGGTCAGTAAGTGCCTGCCCACTGGCCCTCTGCTCTCCACCTTATAAATTGCTAGTGTGGTTGTTCCCTCTCCCAGTCCGGTGCTATTAAAAATTGAAAAATTCAGTATTGTTATTTTCCTGGGTTATCCAGGCAGTAGTGTGTATTCATTCCATTGTTTCCACTTGGAATTTATGTTTTTAATGTAGAAAGTTTTAAAAAGAGACAAGCAGTAAGAAGCCAACACGAATCTTGCACCCTTTTAACTTGGACTCTGTAGTTATTACCAGTCCTTCTGCTGCACACATTTGTATTTTGTTGCAAAACTGGAATAATTTATTGAATAATTTTTTTGTCTCTTTTCTCTAATGTCAGTATTCTGCATTTAAAAAAGATTTTGCAAAATATGTTCTTGTGTAAAATGCAGAGACAAAAGTGAATAAAAAGCCCCCATAATCCCAGCACTCAAAGATAATCATCACTGTAATATTTTAGTATCGGTCAGTCTAGTATTCTAGTAGATAGATGTGTGAAGAGAAAACGGAAACCTTTGCCTTTGTGAATATCTAGTTAGGGTGGAGCACACCTGTAATCCCAGCAACTTTGGAGGCTGAGGCAAGAGGATAGTAAATTCAAGACCAGTCTGGGCAATTTAGCAAGATCTTGTGTACCCCCTGTGGGGTGAAGATGGGGGATGCAGCTCAGTGGAACAATTCAGTCTAGTATGGAAGACATATTTGAAACAAATAATTACAAGAAATTCTTACAACAATTACAAGTTCATTTATTTTTTAAGTAAATGTTTATTGTATACTTCCTGTATGCTGGGCATACAATAA